AGCAGGAATCTGTTTTTGTTCCCCTTTGTGTTCTGAAGGGGAACCTCTGTTGCGCACCAATTAGTGCAATACTCTGCAGAGTTACAGCAGACTTGGAGCAGATCTGAACCATTCTCCTCTGAAACTACATGTTCTTTTTGGTGATAGATAAGTAATAGCAGTGTTTCCCAGAGGTAAATGTTCTTGTTTTCATTAATACTGGGGGTGGGCGTGGGGGTCGTGTTCCATGATATTTTGAGGTAACTGTTTCCAGGTAGCCCAGAGCTTTGGCAGTGATCCTCTGGTTACTCTTAATACAAGAATTAAGATACCTCAGTGCCCAGTGGCAGATTTGATAGAAGGGAGTGTGTGCTAATACCCCAAATGATGTGAACTGTTTGCTCAAGCCTGTCTCCCTCTGTGACACCAATGGAGAGTGCTCTAACGTGACCTTGTGTGTCAGGGAAGTCAAGTCAGTGCTGACGGGCTGTGCACTGGAAACCCTGCACACCACTGGTGCAGGGTTTAGTGGAGCACATCTCTGCAAAGGAGGGTTGTATCTGCAGGGAGGGAGGCTTCTCATGGGTGTAAATCAGCTTGCTCCAGGGCTGCCTTAGCGCGGAGACCCTGGGCAGGGTGCCTTGTTCGTCTGCCCTTCTCTACACGGGCAGAAGTCTTGGGAGGTCAGACTGACAATGTTTGCCAGGAGAGCAGTGCTCTGTGCACAGCTGGGCTGAGCAGCTCTCTGTGTATGCAGCAAGCCAGATTATCTGGAATATTTGTGTGCTACTCGCAGAGCAACTCCACAGCGTGTAACTGCAAGTCCAGTGCATCTGGAAGTACACCCAACACCTACCTGTGGAATCCATCTCCCAGCTGTCCCCGGGCAAATCTGCTTTGGGGACAGGCGTCCACCGATGTCAGTTTGTTCTAACTGTTGTTTCTCAGTCTCTTCTTGTTGTGAGCTCCTCTCACCTGTTGTTTTTGTCCTCTTCTCTCCCTTCCCTGCCTGCTCCGTGGCATGACAGTGAGGTGCATGCATCACCTCCTGAGCCATGGTGGAAACATCTGGAATTCTGCACAGCTTTTATAGTGCTTTGAGGTCACCAACAAGGTTTTTAACTTTTCTTCCAGAAAGTCCAGCTGTGATATGTATCCAGTTCAGCCAAATGAGCTTCCTGACAAAGTGCATTCCAGAGCTAGCTTTTGCTCACCCAAGGAAACCACCCTTTGCTATGCAGATGGGAGGGTTTTAATCCTGCTGTCCCGTGTCAGAGTGAGGTATTAGATGATGACTCTAATAAATGGTCCTATTTTTTGCGGAGCAAAAAGCACTGGGAAAGTGAAAACTGCATTAGAAAACACCCTTTCAGCCCTCCCAGGAAATCCTTTCTTTCTGTGGGAGTAGTCAACCCTTGTAAAGGAAAGTTCTTGTTATTTAGGTTAACTAATAGCTAATTGCTTGGTTTAGCAGTAGGGGCTGTGCTCGATCCCAGGCCAGGAGTGCTGTTAGTTAAGCCCAGGTTGAGAACTGTTACCCTGGAGTGAAACTCAAGTGTTCTAATGCAATGCCACTGCAAGGGGAAAACGGTGCTTACACTGCTGAAGGCGTTGGCACGTTTGCTTTGCCAGCGTGGGATCAGCATGGTGTGTGTTCCTGTTACACTGATAAAGCTATCATGAATAATTAGCACACGCTATCTGCTTTTGAATAATCCTTAATAGCAACTTTTATTGCCCTGAATGACCTCAAAAGAGAATCGTTGCAGACAGTCCAAAGAAAGCAGCCCCAAGCACCTCTCGTTGGAAGCACTGTCCTCAGCAAATGAGACAGAGAGGCCTTTGGAATGGTCTTATTTCCAGACGTCTGCTGCTTTTATGGATGCTAATGATGTAACTGAGACACAGCATCTGCACTTCAGGTTGAATTCAGACGTTTTGCATGCTAAAATAATTTCAGCTGTTTCATATGCTTCCTTTTCCTGTAGATTCCTGTAGGTTGGGGTTGGACTCGATGAACTCCAGAGGTCCCTTCCAACCCCTAACATTCTGTGATTCTGTGATTCCTTTCCAATTGGTGTATTTTATACTGACAGTTTTTACAGATACTGGCATTGGTCAAACAGGATTCCTGACTAGAATCCAGATGGGAATTTACTGTGAAATTGTTTCAGTCTTTCCTTTTTTAGGGTAGCAGGGAAGGTGAATTTAAATTTGTATTTTAGTTACACGCAGTTAGTTTAGGGTTGGGTTTGTTTTGTTTTGTTTTTTCATTTTAAAATAACTCAAGTGGGAATTCAAGTTAGCTGTCATTGTATGGACTATTCAGATTAGTGAGAGCAGAAGAAGAGTGGGTGTATGGGGGTAAATGAAGCACAGTGGACCAGTCCATCTCTACAGGGAGCAGCAGTGTGTGCACATAGCCACAGATTAGCTTGTCCTAGTTTCTTAGTTTAATAGCAAATATGTTGTAGGGTTTCAGTGAAAAAGATTTTGGTCAGAACCTGATGATGTCTCTCATCCCAAGAGCAGCTTTTGTTTCTTGCAGAACTTTGAGATTTGCTCTGGACAGGTAATAGAAGCTGCCTCAGAGACTTCTTCCATAGCAGCAAAAATACACTTCCTCCTGTCTGTCACTTGCAGTCTGCAATTTACATTAGCAGTGGGATCATTGTTTTTCATCTTCAGTTATGCAGACAGTCCCAAAATTTGCCTTCACACTCTGGAGCATTCCAAATCCATCATTTCTTTGGGCAGTCAGCCTGGTGAGAGCACTGTGTTTTGCATGTAGTGGCCATAGGAATATAATGGTCCCATTGTACGTACATACACTTACAGCTTATGTCTTAAAGAAATCCTGTAATACCTTTTAGAACAAATGATCATCATGGCTGGAGTCTTTTCTGTGATGGCAAAAATCAGGAAAGAAGGAAGATGTGCCATTTGCTGCAGATTGGTTGTACACTTGTGAGTACAAGTGCTATAACAATGCCAGCATATAGTAGCTGTGCAAGACCTAGTCATGCTTATGATGGTTTATTAGAAGGACAGCAACAGGTCGCTGTGCCAAATCTTGAGTTTCTACAGGACAAGAGAGAAATCCCTCCGTGACTCTTTGTCCAGCATGCCTGACTTTGTCTCTACCATGGATTTACACAAGGGATCCTGGGTTTGTCGGGTTTGTTGCAGGCTCAGGTTTGCAAAATGTCAGAACCCATCCTTCTTTCCTTGACTCTGGAAGTCAGTCTCTCCCCTCAGTTGTCTTTAGGGAACAAAGCTAAGCCATTACTCTGGATTTGGGAGCAATATTTAGGTGAGAAGTTTTTCCTGACCGTGATACAAGTGCCTCAGCAGACTTGCATTCATGAAATTATAGTTCTGCTTATCATCAAATTAGCAATATCCACTTCTTTGCAAATGGGCTTCTTAATAGCCTAACTGGAAGGATGCAAGCACTGAAAAGTGGCCAGTGATACACTATGTGCCATTATTTTTAATACAGTTGAGAAAATGATAGCATAGAAGTTTAGTTTGAATTGTTTATCAGGCCAAGAGCAGTTTAAAAATCAGGAAATAAGTCCAGATGTTACAAAAGAACCCATAGTGTCTGAGGCAGATGAACTTCCGTTCTGGGGACTATTTCTTGTCTGCAGATCATTTGCAGGAACAGACTAATACTGTTGCTTTTGCTTGTATACAAATGTAGAATAAGCTGAGCAATTAAGAATTGGATACCAGCCCACTTAAGAAAGATCACTGCATTTAGTTCTGCTGTTTGACCTCAGCAGCAGAGTGGTGTCACTGAAAATATACCTGCTCTGCACAAAACTAAAGTCTACGAGACAAACAATATCAATTTTCCTTTTCTAAAGCATCCTTGAAAAATACTTGTGCATAATTTCTTGCTAAGATTGATCTCTTGACAGGAAACTTAAATGGTTGGTTGATACTTTAAATATTGGTAGTTTTTGGTGTCTGTCAGTTGCAACTCCTCATTGCCCAGAAGGTGCAGGGGGGAGTACAATGGCCTTGTGTTACCTTATAGTGGCCTTAAGATAATAATTGATATTAGGTGGTCTAGAGATTTATACTTCATTCACTCTGCAGCTCCCAATAATTGTAACTGTGTATGTAATTGTAAATGTGATGTGCTTGTGGCTCTGCCATGGAGATGGCTACGTCAGAGCCTGCAATGCACCTGGCTACCTGCGTGATGATATCTCTATGCAGCTCTGTAGGCAGTAAGTTGTCTCTTTGCTTTATTTGCCTCAGAGCTAAATAATGTTCAGCCTGCGTTAGTGTGCCATGATGCCCTCACTGACATTGATGATTTTCAGCAGCTGAGGTTCAGGCTGTGAGATTACTGACTTGCTTCCTTCATCAAGATGAGTTAGAATAGGAAGAAATTGTGTGTGTCCTTGTATATTTTCCCCCACTGTGAGGCATTAATTAGTGACCAAATGCAAAATTTCCATTCCCCAGTTTGTTCCTACAGGGCTCACATAGCATTAATTGCCAAACCCTAACATTTCATGATATAACAGTATAAGGGATGGCAAAGCCCATGAGGGGGTGGAGCAGTTTGAAATGTTGTCAGGTCTTAGACTCTACTCTAATAATTCTCCTTCTTCTTTGGCAATAGGGAGCAGACAAAATAATCTGATGTAATGATCTGGCTTGGCATTTACAGCTTGCCAACCAGTGTTTAGCAACTCAGCGGTTTAGGATGACAGAATTAACAGCAGAGAGAAATATTGTTGCTTGAAATTGTGACATGGTTTTATAAACTTCCTTCTTTTACAGATTCGGTTAAACAGCAGAGGACTTATCTATTCTGTTGGTCTCCTGCTGGCATCTGTTTTTGTCACAGTATGTATATAGTCTTTTGTTCTTCATTTCCCAAAGAGTGATTTTTATAGACATTTTCTTCGCCTGTTCCTTTCTCACCTCCAGCTGTAATAGTGTTTGCACAGTTTGTTGCCTGAGACCTTCATCTGTCACTTGGCAGAAGCTGTCACTGTCACAAGATGGCTCTGATATTTGTATATTTTTCACGTGAGGAGCACATGAGATCCAGCAGTAATCATTAGTTACTTTTCATGCTAGATCTGCTTGAAGCAGATCCCTTAACGTATGACAAGGTCCGTTCTCCTGTGGGACAGGTAGACAAAATGCTGTACGGTTTGCTTTGGCCCTCTGTAGGAACCTTGTGAAACACAGCACAGACCCGAACAAATAGTGCCTGGATGTGACAGTGTTTCTGTTGAAATCAGTGCCTTGCATTCCCTGGCCTGTCTGGGTCTAGCATAGCAGACTAGGAGTGACAGAGAGAAGAGTATTTGTATGACATCTTCCAAATCTTGAGACCAGCTGTTTTTTTGACCACTTTATTTGAAATTTTCCTGCTATGGTGGCTTACTCTGTGTTTATTGTAGGTTTTTGGCGTCCACATGAACAAATGGAAACTGGACAAGAAGCTAGGGTGTGTGTGCCTTTCCCTTTACGGCATCTTCCTGTGTTTCTCCATCATGACAGAGTTCAATGTTTTCACTTTTGTGAACTTGCCAATGTGCAGAGATCACTAATGCAGGTGGCAGACTGTCGGGAGGAGCTTCCTTCTTACCTGTGCAATACAACCACGGCTGGCATCTCCTGAATGCGGTGCACCTCCGAGTCGTGATGTGTGTCCTGTTCACTGTTGTAGGACCCGTGGCCCCATCCAGGTCTGCCCTCTCCCTGACCCCCGCAACCTGGAAAAATCCTGCATCGATGTGAAGATTTCTTGTTTTCAACATTCATGTGATTTCCTAGCTCAGTTTTTGAACAGTGTAACTGGGACTCTAGATGAACTGGCTGCTAACTGGCGTCAAGCCAGGCAAAACTGGTCTGCTACAATTCCTTCCTTTTTTAAGTTATTTGATGGAAGACTAATCTAATTTATGACTTAAGACTATTGCTACAATGCAGAAGAGGGTACATCGTACAGGGGCTGATTTTCAAGGAGAATCATGGGAATTCTTTTGTTGTTTTGGATTTTTTTTTTAAAATTTTCATTGTTGGGGTTGGGTTTTGGGTTTGGTTTTTGTGTGTGGTATTTTTTTTTTTTTTTTTTTTTTAAATTGCTAGAGATCAACGTCCTCTCTTGCAGCTTCTCCTTCTGAGCACTGGGTCTCCTGTAATGATCCAAAGGTCACAGGGCAGTATAATATGGGAATACAATTCAAGGTACTTGGCACGTGAAAGCATTTACTGCGTATTAAAAGAAGATTGTCAAGGCAACAGACAATGACTTTTTACCACAGATAATGAATCTTGTACAAGTGTGATGAGGAATGGAAGGTAAACGTGGATTCCAAGGGTAAACACTGCTACCATTTTACTACTAATGTTGGAGTTTTATTATTAGGGTGTTTATGGTATTTCCAAGCAATAGTTTGATCGCCAGCCCACAGGGGCTACCAAGGAGATGTCCTGGCTTTTAATGGTCTGCACATGGAATTGGAAGGTCAGAACTTTCTCTGCTTCATCAGATTTCTTGTTTTGGGGGGATTCAATAGTTCACGTCTTACTCGTTCTGAGAAGGGCATAAGTATGTGTCAGAACTTTTCTAAATGAGTTGCAGACACTGGTTTCTTTAAAAGGAAAGGGGCATATTTTGCACAGACATAGTTACCGAAGTCATAATTTGCCATTCTTTAAAGAATACACTGGACCTGGCCAGATATTTGTCATCTTCGGCAGTTGAACTTACCTGATAACAGATCATGTGGATTCATCACCCCTTCTTTGGGAGGGAGGAAGACACAGAGAGAGATGGCACTTTTTAAAATGTGGAATATCTTCAATGCAGATTCGCTTACAGATCTTAAGTTATTGTGAAAGTTTAGCTATTCATTGTTGCAATATCCTGGATAGATTTTGTATAATTCTGTATTAATATGCAGACAGATTCAACCCCATGAGAAACACCATCACAGCTTCATTTCTATGTATTGATACTGTGGATTCTTGCCAGTGCTGGCTCTTGTATTTACTTTAAGCACTGATCACTTCTGATTCATTTGGTATGCTTTTTCCTCTTTCTTGTCTATGTTCTACTATGAAATGTGTTAACAAACTGCCAGCTAGGTAAATGGTTTTGTCTATGGTACAAACAGTGGCAAATGTTGGTAGTAAAGGCACAGCAAACCCTACGAAACAGAAAGGAAAAAAAAAAAAAGGTGAAATGCCAAACCCTAACCTTTAACAGGGAAAAAATACTCCAGCTAAAAAAAAAAAAAAAAAAAACAAACAAACCAACCAACCAAACAAACAAAAAAAAGCCCCCCAAAAAACCAACCAACCAACCAAAAAAAACTCAAACCAAACAACAGAGAGCCCCATTCACAGGCAAAAGACAATTTTTGGTTTCATTTTTGTTGGGTAAAATGTTGTAAATCAAAATATTTATACCCCATGGTTTCCATTCAGCTCAGCACCTGATTTTCTGTGATGGTGAGAGTGGTGGGTGGAGGCACTGGCAGCTGTGGCACCATGCGTGTCGAGGAGCTCCAGTGGAAACGCCGTGTGCCACCAGCCCCGGTGAACCAAGTGTGTGTGTGTGGGTCCCTGGCAGGAGGAAGGTCGGTCCAGGGGCAGGCAGTGGAGAGAGCTGATGGCATGCCTGCCTGCGTTTTTCACGCTGGAAAACAATTGTGTTGCTGCTTGTGGAGCTCTGCAGTCTGTTGTCTCAGCAGCCTTCTCAATACTGTGCACTTCCGAAGTCCTCTTGCATTAGGAAGCTCACTGTACCTTCCTGTTGTGTTTTTTTTTTGTTGCTGTTGTTTCTTCTTTTACTGTTGTTAATGATGATAATAATAATAATAATAACAACAACCACTAAAATGTCTAAAATACTTCCTTAAATCAAACAGTGTTAGCAGCGATGTGGCACATTTCTTTAAAATCCACCCCACAAATACACAGCTATGATCTTGTAGCAAGATGCAGTTGCTCCTAAGCAGAATGTTTCCTTGCTGAGAGAAGGGACAGATTTGGGGAAAAAAAAAAAAAAAAAAAAAGAGAAGTTTCACATCAGGGCCTATTATTACTTCTATTTTGAATATTTATACTGCTGCTCCAATGGAGCCAGTTGGATCTATTTCTACGAAATAGCCATTACCTATCCCGTGGCACAAAAACTGCATGAGTATTTTTTAGGAACTTTTCCTACTGGTGTGCATTAAATACTGTAGTATGTCGTAGCTTTGCGTTGTGTGTAAAACCTGAAATATCTTCTTTTGACACTTGTGTGTTGTGCAAGAATGCTCTGCAAGTTGTTTGTGCTAGGCAGAAGCTAAAAGGTACATTGAACTGCCATTACCTGTGCCATATATGGATTGATAAGCACTTCATCTATTGACATTTTCAGTGAGATGTGCTTATGCTTTGCAACCGAATCAACCAGTGCAGACCTGGCTTGGAACAGGACAGACCAACTGAATGTGTGCATTCTTGGTTTTGTCTCCAAAAGAGAGAGCCTCTCAAGTTTGCTGGCATAATCGAAGCCTGTGGAAAAGTCCCCAAGGCAAAAAACCTTCTTTTTAGCATGCTTCCTGCACAACATCTCCAAAACTCACGGAGACAGTTACATTCAAATGCAGTGTGTATTAATAGCTTTATTATGGGCCCATTGAGGGCAGCTGCCCCCTGCCCTGCCCAGGCTGTTAGAGCTTCTGGAATTGTAGGGTGGGATGGAGCTGTGGTGGGGCTGGGGCTTGGGACCAGGGTGATGGGGTGGCTGGGGGTAAGGAGGGACCTGAGGCACAGAGGGGTTGTGGAGAGGCCCAGGGTTTGCAGGCTGGGGGAAACCTGGGGGTGAAGCCAGGTTGAGTTGGATTCTTTTAATATGACTGTGATTCATTTGCAGTTTTATTCTTCTGACAGCAAGAGTCACCTTTGCATCTGAGGCCACTCTGGTCTTTAGACTAGTCAACTTTTTTTGTTTCCATTCCTGGAAGCTTCAGACAGTTATTAATGAGTATTTCAGAGGAAGATTAAAGAGCCTTTTCCTCAGTGGAGAGCACTTCACTGCAGCTCTGACTTTGACTTGATTTAAATATGTGATCCCTTGTTAGTGTCAAGTCTTCTCAATGCATGGAAGGCATTACTTTGACAGTGGTTCAAAGGCAGAACGGTAGGATAGGATAGGAAGAGATCTTAAGATGTGCTGGGAAAATGGCTTTTGTCCTTACCAAAGGTGAATTTTATACCTTTTTTTTTTTAATGTACTGCACTTTTTGGTATATTGTTTCTGCCATAGGAACACCCAGCTGAAATATGTGCATGGGAGGAGATGTTCACTGGTATGATATGGTGGGGTTTTTTTTCCTGTGATGTTACTTGCTTGCTTTGTTTTCAGCTTTCTGTCCTCAGCTGTGTCCTTGAAATCAATAATTCGCATGCTTTGGATGCTTTGTGATATTAGTGCTTGTGAAAACGAGTGCTCCTTCCTGGTGTTCAGATAGAAGCACGACTGGATTTTTTCTTGATGAAACAAATCAAGCAGAACAGCAGTTTTAAACAAACAACATTCAGTGTAGGGGGAGCAACCTGAGGATAACGTTTAGTATCCTGCTCTCAGAATAGGATTTTTTATATGCCTTTTCCAAATAACTATATTAATACTTGTGAGTTGAAATGTAGATTGATTATTGTTGGATAACTTTCTAGAGAACCATAATTTTATGCAGATTGACAAATATTTCTTATATCAGGATTTTTTGGAAGCCCAAATCCTTTCAGGTATAGCTTATGGACATGCAATAGTGTAAGGTTTATCTATTTCAAAGTTACACCACTGGAACTTTAAGCTTGTTTAAACATATATTTCAAAAATCAAACTTCGTGGACCATGCTTAGCTGGATTTAAATCTGTCCAGTATTTGTGAAGTTTCACTTAACCAGTAGCCACTGTAAGTTAATCTGAAATAGTCTTAAATCCGTGTAAGAATGTCCATATTAGGTTTGTACAACTTTAACTGAATCAGTTTAAACCCATGCTTCTAAGGAAAGTGGTGGAAGTTTTGAATGTTTGGAAGACTTCAGCCACTTCCCTTCAAATGTAACCAACTACAGCATTTGAGTATGCTGAATGAGTGAAACAAGTGTAATGCAAGGCTTAAAGAGTTTCAGTATTCACTGACTGGAGTGAAAGCTGACCTCTGTTGCCATGAGCAGCAAAACCCCAGTGATTGTTCTGTAGGGTCAGTGTGTGTGTTTGCAGCAGCAGTAAGACCTGAAAAGGTCTGTTGTGCTTTGTTTTTCAAAGATAAATGATGTTTTTCTTTTCTTTCTTGACTAGGTAGCTGGGTAACTATTGATATGATTAGGCACCTTTAAGGGAATTTACACAAATATTCTGTTAACACTTAGTGGCCTCAAATCTGACCCGTAGTTTAGAAATGCATCAACTTCCACCCAAACTGCTCTGAGTGGTTTGGCTGAATTTTCAGAATGAATCTCAAGTGTGGACAAATTCATGCCTTTGGGAAAAGTTTTTTTTAATTCACAGAAAACCAATGAGGGAAGATTTGGCAGTTTGTTT